TTTGGTCAGTCGGTTCGATCTCTCTCTGCGCCGCTGTTCTATTTCTCTCTTCTTCCTGCGCTAGAGTTCTACTTTGCAGATTTTCGTTTTTTCTGATTCTACTTTTTACCAGAGTTTCATTTGGCCTTCATTTTTAGCCTATTTGTTCATTCCTGACGTTTTGTACTCTTTTTGGCAACTATGGATGACGAACGTGAAGTAAGTTTTACTTTCTGTACAATTTCACTAATCTGACCTGATTTAACTTTTTGTAACCTTTTTGTTTGCTTAAAAGGAATATGCTGTCGAACAGATTGTTGACAAGCAAATCGAAAACGGAAACGCCAAGTATCTCGTAAAATGGGAAGGTTTCAGCTCTTCTGAAAATACTTGGGAACCATTGGAAAGTTTGAAAGATTCTATGGACTTGGTCACTGAGTTTGAAAACAAATGTCGCAATTCCCGTCGTTCAAAAAGAGTTGTCAATTACGCTGAAAAGGAAAGTGATTCGCCAGCTGATGCAAAGAATAATGATACTGTCTCTGAAAATGATGGTGATGATGACTACCTAACAGAGGATGAAGAGGAAAGCGAAAATGATGACGTTTACATAGAGGCAGAAGAAGAAGATGATGATATGAGTTTAAAAGAGGCTGATTCTGATGAGGAGTCAATTGCTATGAACAACTCTACCAGTGATAAGGTACTTTAATTTACTTTCTACCAATTCATTATCTAAAACTTTGTTATTCATAATTTTAATAGCAAACCGACGCACTTTCAAGCAACTTAGTTGACGCTGAGTTTGCTGGAACAACTCAATCTGAGGAAACGACTTTAATAATTGTCGAAGGGTCATCAGCTATGAAAGCAGTCAAATCTGGCTTGTTTGTACTTGAGAAAAACTTTTTTGGAATTCTTTCACTTCAAGGCAAGCTAATCAACGCAAAGGATTCAACAGACGCAAAAGTGAAGAGCAACAAGTGGATAAAACTGATTGTTAACAGTCTAGGATTGGACTTTAACAAAAAGTACATTACAAAAAGTGAACAAGAGGAATTGAGATACGGAAAAATTCTAATTATGTCAGATCCTGACGTAAACGGAGTTCATTTAACTGGCTTAATTATAACATTCTTTCACAAATACTGGCCTTTTTTATTGAAACGCAAGAACATGTTCTCCAAAATGAAGTTTCCTATTGTAAATGTCTACAACAAACTTGCTAAAAAGGAAGTTTTTTCGTTTTATTCATTGAAGCATTTTGAAGACTGGAGGCAAAACACAAGCAATTTAAATGACTTTACAATTAACTACTTTAGAGGTAACTTTAAAAATGACATATTATAAACCGTTTTAAATTATTATTTTCTTTAAAGGTCTCGGAAGTATTCCCTCATCTGAAGTTATTGAATCCTTTGTGAATTTGAAAAATCATTTAATTAACTTTGAATATGGCGGCGCTGAAGACGACAAAACTCTTGACATGGCATTCAATCCTGAAATGACTGTGGATCGCAAGAAATGGATTGAAAAACATCAAAACAATTTATCGTTTGACAATGACGGCAATTCAGAAACGATTTCGTTTAAAAAGTTTATCGATCATTATTATCTGCAGTACTGCAACATTTTGACACAGCAAAATTCTCCTTCAGCTGTTGATGGCCAAACTCAAGTAAGGCGAAAGATTTTAAATTCAAGCTTTAAAACAAAGTTGCTG